GAATCGGGTAGGGTTCAACAAGACAGAAGAATGAGGGGTTGGTTGGGTGCAAATAGAGTTAGAGAAGAGCCAGCACCCAGCGTGCCCAGGGACTATTGAGTGTTAAATACTTACTACATGTGGTTGTTGCGGTACACAAGAGTTATTCGCTGTTGTCAATGTGTGTAGTGTGTACCTTCCTACACAAACAAATGCAGCAGCCAAACATCGATGGGTTTAGGGTAGTGGTTGGTAGTATTAGTTAGTACGTACCAGTGCCACTAGTATTGCTAGTAGTGCTTTATGGTACTAACTAGCCGCCACTAGAGCTATCCACCTATCCATGCACACTTCAAACGGAATTGTGAATTAGGCTGTGCTCTAAATAAATTGCATTTTTCTCTTTTTTGCTACTTCCACGAACTTATTATCTCGTGTAGTGTTGCTAGTCAGTGATGAGAGAGTGATACATCATGCAACATGAAAGGATAAAAATGGAAATGCTATTTGATTTTTGAAGCTGCCGTCTTACGGGTTGGAGGCTCTTCCTCTAGCATAGCATGCTCAGCTACCCTGCTGGTAGTATTTGTATCGATTCTGTTTTGATTGTGAACTCGATCATCGCTTCCGATTCTTCTCATTTACTTTTCAGTCAATAACTACAAACATTAAAAATCGAATTCTTTTCGAATTTATTATCACTGCAGTTTCGTTGCAGATTTCTGAGATTTCTGTATTTTGTCCCATTTATTCGTGACTGCTATATTTAATTCACCGCAAACTGCTGCAGCTGCTGTTTTTATGTTCTATTTAGTGTGAACCACAATTATGGTAAGTTGAGTTTTTCACATTTAGTTTACCAGCAACGTTTATAAGGTTTACTTGTGTTCGTTCAATAGAAAATGAGGTGCGAAAAAGTATTTTAGATTTCTAAAAATGAGTCGTTGGCTGGAGTTGAAATTTGGGACACCACAATTTGTTGCATATTTGTCGATTGTCATTAATGATTAGTGCAAAATTTTTACTAGTTTTTTTCTAAAATTCGTATTGCTTGAAAATGAGATTGTAATTGTTTTTTTCCAGCATCTTCAAGTTGCATCATTATTTCGCACCACGAGATTGAAAAGCGAATAAATGTTGTTTCATCATCGATGAAACCAATGTTTTTTGAGTTGCACATGTTTGCAAGGAAATAATAATAATTCTAATCCTCTTCGTTGAGTTTGTTTCTTTTGAGAGCTTTGCTTCTATGTTCAAGTCATTGTTCCTGGGGATCTGTACATACTAGCATGTTATACAAATTTTGACTCTTGTTGCGAGTCTTAAGTGCAATCTTTCTCTGGCTGTGAATTTATTGTTTTTTGTTTTAAAAGAGATAATTGAAACATTGCCAGCAGCCAAGTTCTGTTTGGAAAACATCCATGCTTAATATTTTTTTTAAAAAAAACAATCAATTGTGCTGAAATCGTTTTTAAAAAGAATATTTTTGTGTCAGTTAATTTGTTACCGAACTCTTTTTTATTTCGCTTACTTCTAAATCAACACTAAGCAAGTGTATCCGAGATGGTGCGAGGTAAGAATGACAACAGGATATCAAAAGGACCTTTTATCTAACAGTAAACGATCAAAGTTAGTTTTCACTTAAATAATTGGGAACTGTTTTCCTTCGATAATAAAAGAAACAAGACTGCTCGTATCAGGGCGAAGCCCTGAATGTTCCGACCGCCTTTTAATGTTTATGGAGCAGTAATAGCATTTAAGAAATTAAATGAAATAAAACAAAATGAAAATTTTTTTTTCTAAAATTTGAATTTTTTAATGAAAATCATCCCCCCACACGCCATATTAAGTACAAAAGGATATATTTCGCTCCTTGTAACAAGTAAACCTCCACTTACGCATTAATAGCGAGAAATATATTGCTCGTTAATTGGCCATCATGGCAATCTTTAAACCCCCATAACTTGACAAAAATGACAGCAGCTGAGAAATATTTTTAAGTTTGAGGTAAAGACAATGCTTTACAGATGATATAAAAATGCGTCAAATAGGGCTAGTTGAAAAATCAGATAAAAAAAGTCGGGAGAAATAAAAAAAAAGGCATAAATACTTCGTCACTTTCTTTGAAATTCGGAACGTTAAAAATGGATTGCTCATTAATTTTTGCTATCAAGCGAAGAATTACAAATGTCATTGGCCCTTTGAAGCTCAAAGTTTTGATCATTTTTAGCTCATGAAATCTTATGGCGCCAAAGGTATCTTTAGAAACATTTTAGGATCAGCCAGCCAAAAATGGAAATCTTAAAATAATACTAAAGGTAGTCAGGGGTTCGAATCACTTGGGGGAGGGGTCGTCCGCATCTTCTTCCTAAATGCGCTACTGTTTTTACATGTAATCAAGTTCCTCAGATATTCATCAGAATGACTGTCTTGAGAAAAAGCGTTTTGAACGTTTAGCTTTTTAGTCTTAATTCGAGCGCGTAAAGCAAGCAAGTGTTATAATATAATAGGACAAAAGACTTTTTTGAAGCCCTGAAAAGCTTCGTTTGCCCCTGGAAAATTTCTGTTCGAAGCTTAAATCAGTGTTTCATCGGAATCAAAAATAAATAAACTTCATTTGTTTTCTTTTTTTTTTGGTCTGGTTTTCTATGGCATTTTTGATTATGCGTAAATTACTAATGTTCAAAGCCTGGGTCTAATTCCTCTTTTCAAGCCACATACAAGAAACGACCCAAACTTTAAAATAACAGTTTGTATGTTTTTGAGCTTTTATCAATGTGGTCTGAACTGTATGCACTACATAACTTGCAACGGGCTGCTCTTGTATTTCAGAAGTCAAAATTTTCACTTAATTTCAGTGTAAACTAGATATTTTTTTTCGCGGTTTGACTTTGTTCTTGAAGTTTAGTTCATTCCCTTTGTTAAAAAAAGCAAACTTTACTATCAAACAGCAAAAGTTTTAAAATCTTATAAAAAACTTGATCGACTTCTAATTTCGAAATGAAATTTAAATTTTTAGATTCCCCAGCGGATTTTCATTTTCCCCAGCGGAATAAAATTTTTAACTATTGATCCAGTTTTCTCTTTTAAATTCGAAAGCTGAAGTTTTTTTTTTAAAAAGCAAGTCAGTTTTTTTGTTTCCGTGCGTACGCTTGATCTTTTCTAACGGTCTGTTAGGCATGTTTTTAATAGCAACTGTTTTGTGTGATATTTATTACGCCCCAAAAACTTGACCAGAAATTACTACAGCTATTTTTTGAGAAGTTCAAACTGCTGCCGGAAAAAACGTGATTGACTTCTTGCTTGAAAAATAGAATTTAATTTTAAGTACTATTGGAGGAATGTAGATTAACTTTTGATTCAGTTTTTCTCCAATTGAGCGATATATTTTTGACTTGAAAGCCGAAAAGTTGGCTTTTGTTGCAATACTTTGTTGGATTGAAAGGTGACAATTGGTCAATATGCTGGACTAATTATGCGCTTATTTATGGATTTTTGTATTATACTCAACGCGGAATTGCGCGTGCGCGTAGGTAAGACCAAATTTCCACGTTTTCAAAGAATCGTTCCGGCCAGAAAAAATATTTTTCAATACTTGCTTTGAGTTTACCCACAAAGCGATTAAAGTTATTTGATCCAATGTCTGTCATGGGAATACTTTGTGCGACATGGCATAGCAAAACCGGCTACACGTGTTACTGTACGCTGACATTTTTGACATCACTTATGGCGAACTATTGTATGTTGTGTTTTTCAAGTATACCCTGAATAACAGTAGTTTAAGTAATGTCTTGTAAGTTTAATGTCTTGTAGATCTCTTGTCTTTTGTTATTTATGCAAGTGGACAAGTAAACTGAATTATTCTGAGCACTTCGTCCAAGTGTGCGATGGTCACAATAGTTTCTAAGAGTCTGAGATCGAAGGCCTAGATTTTCATCCTTTTGACAACTTTGATTTTGGTTCAATTATTGAATTTCGCGTTTAAAGAATTATATGTATAAATGAACAAACTGGGCCAAATAACAGTGACGCCTCTTAGAGTACTTTTGAGGGCATCAAACAAAGTCGAGATTCAGATTTCAACACCGATTTGAACCCTACAGAAGATGGCTGGGCTATTTTAAATTCGACTCCACTGTATTATGCGAGCATAGTTGGGGCGCTTTAGCACTTTGATGCAGTGAAATTGTGTCAGTTTTGAGCAAACTTTGAGCTCCCAGATGATGTATGTTTAATAACTTTGGTCAAACAAGATTTGGCCCGATTTTGCGATCCCATCTAGTATGTAGTACGGTGCTGCTACTATTAAACCTATATAGCCTAGGAATGGGAATGCCAAATGTTAAATTGTTTGAACCAACTTCGCTCTAGCTCTCAAAATATATCTCACATTTGGATCGAGCTAACATTTGCAATTGTTATTACACTGAATGAAAAATTCTGATTCAACTTGGCTTTAATTGACTTCGTGTTAGTTTATTATTGTTACTATGGCGCCATCATTTTAGTTCACGTCCAAATCGTGCTAAGATTTTAAATCGCCGGCTTCTGTTTTGGTGAACTAACTCAAGACCACAATTCTACCTCAGTGGCCAAAGAGGGTAAACGTAATTTCTTACTTCAAGCTTCATACCTCGCTTAGTCTTCGTTCATAACCTCGCGAAAATTTCGCACTTTTAAACGCAGTGCAAATCCCAATTGGTTTTTCACGAATTTTTTGTGTGATTTAATAATTGATAATAATAATAATTGTTTTCAAGCGATATCGTTATAGAGAATGATGCAAATATTTGAAGTTTTCCTACAAAAGCATCAATTGAGAAAGTTATGACGTTAGAAAGTTGTCTAGTATATTTTCAGATTTGATTTTGTGCTGTAAATAATGTAATCGCCCAGTGGTTACTATTTCTTGGTAGTTTACGGCCTGGAATTTTTGACAGTTAGGTTTTCGTTTCTTTTCAAGAAAGAACATTTAGCTCAAGTGTATTTATCAATTTGAACGTGTTCTTTCTCTGTTATAGGCACTATTGGGTGCGTGAAAACTTCTCAGAAAGTGCAGTGAGTGGCACTACAGCAGCAGACCACGGCATATCAAGACACCCTCCTCTAAGCGCTCCTTCTCTGTTCGACCCAAAATCAGCCGCCGCCGCCGCGTCTTCGCCAATCAACAACCCCCAGCAGAACAAGTTCGCCCCCTTCACAAACCACACAACTGAGGCACAATCTCGTAAATTCTCAACACCTCACATAACCTCACTCTTCCCCGCTTTGACCCCCACCGAAGCCCAGAGGAACCCTTTGTCGAACACTTTGAACGAATCGCAGCAGAACCAAGCATCGCGAAGATTCAGTACAGGGGACTGTTTTAAAGATTTAGTAACAAGCTTGTACAGTGGCCAAACTAATATTACACAGCCTATTGTCGCAAACAGTAATGGGCATTTAAACTGGCAACAGAGTCAAAACGACCAACAGAAATTACTGTCGTCCAATTTCGCAAACCCACTTAACTCGAAAAACGCTTTAAACTCATTTCCTGAACTGCCACAGTGTTCAACTGCAGAGTCAAAACCTAGTAGTTTTCTCTCACAACTTAAAGACCCGAAGAGACTTCGAGCGATAGAGGAGAAGCAGAACTTCTTGGCGAAGCAGCACTTGAACGACTTAGCCGAGAGTAGTGTGCAGGCTTCTTGTGTCGAAACAGAGGAGGTTTTGGAAAAGTTTTTCCGCACTCCTCTAGCTTTCAATCGCAGTCCGCCTGGATCTGTCCTCGATAAACCCTATTTACGCTCGGAAGGATTAGGCGACGATTTTTCCAATTTCGGTTCCTGGGATTTTCAAAACCGAAACGAAATCCCGCTTAGAATATTTGTAGGAAACGAAGGATCGGAGATCAGCAATGCGAGTTTTCTAAATAACAACAACGTCACTCCTAGAAGTGGTGAATGCTCTAGGCTGTTGAAGCTAATTACAGATAAAAACTCGGGGGGATCCAACTTAAATTCACCGATTGGGAAAAGCTACGAAGGAACACCTCATATAAAGCAAGAACCGCTGTCCAACTATGAGAGCCAAAGTTGCCACCGCAGTCCCTATTCGAACTCCACGCAGATTATGTTAAGTCTGCTCGACCAGAAAAGGTCAAAATTAGCTCCAAAAGTGGCACCGCTTCAAATAGCACCTTTTCGAAGCCTGAACGCGGCGGAGAACGAGCAGATCTCAGATGACGTAATACTTAGTCCAGACTACGCAATCCAGCAGGGCTTTCCAGACAATTTACGTAATAATAGACCAATGACGTTGCTCCAAAGTGGAATGAATTGTTTCAATGGCGCTGGCATGGTCCAAGTGGCGTCCGGGTCCCCGAGCCAGATGGGGATGAACTCCATGGTACCCAGAGTGGTCAATGAGAACTCCCTGATGAAGATGGAAGGGGGACACCACGGAGGTGGAGGGTACCCATCCCCAGGAAATAACGCGTCTCCAGGGGTGACCAAAAAACGAAGTCGTCTGCCGTCACATGGTGATTATAGCTCTAACAAATTCTGTACTTTTATTGGTATTAATTATTTACTAAAATGTTTTTTTTTCTAGCTTTTCGAAAGTTTCTGCATTTTGTCTTCTGTTAATTTATTGTAGACTGTGAATGGTAATAAGCAGGTGCTATAAGCAAACACTAGAAGACAACTTCATATCTTGTTTTAAGATGATGTATCAACAAATTAAATGATAGATATGAACCGCTCTTGTGACCCTTGTTAAGAGAATATGCAATTTAGGGGTTGTTTTTTGGACTGGGATGTTGTCTCGCCATTACGCAGCTAGGACAGATTTTGGTGGGCCTCGAATCATCTACCTTTCGTCAGTGATACTTAGCGCCTTCACTGTCGCTCCCCTTTTTGGACCATGATACAACTAATAAGTAATTAGATGTTAAACGTCGACTGAAATATTTCTCAGGTCCTCACGCGAAGCGACAGAGCATGGACCACGGTCTGTCGCCTATGGACAACAACAACAGAATTATGGGCATGAACTCAACGCATAACGACAACCAAAACTTGAACTCTTCTACCTCACACAGACAGAATGAGAAGAGAGGAGACTCTTCCAGCAGTCCCTCTTCTGGCCTGGACAGTGACAAGAACCAGAATCGCCCTCATTGCCAGGCGTCTGCAGATTACATGGAGGACTTGGGCTTCTCATTTCCTCAATTGGGAGAAGGTAATTAAGAGTAGCAAGTTAGAGTAGTGTGAAAAGCACATAGCACTTGATCTTGAAACAGTTATAATGCAACACTTCACTCCAACGGCTTCTTTTTTTATAACTATACTTCAAAAATATCTATTCTCACCAAAATTTATCCATCAACGCAAGTTACCCATCTGGAATTAATGTCATTGTTTGAGTACACATTATATTCTGCTAATTTCCTGTCTTGGTTAGTCGCATCACACATTTTTTTACGATGGCTAGCCTCTACTACACATTTGAATAGTCAGACTGCTTTACATGTAATCAAATTACATGTACGCATTTATGACATAAAGGCGTGTTCAACTTCAAAAGAGGAGATAGGACAGCTACCCGAAATCTTTTGGGGAAATTCAAAATGCGCTTGGTGCAAATGTCCGAGCTAAAATGCCGGAAACACATGAAGACCACGCGAGCCGCCCAAAAAATTTTAACACCTTAGATTCTAAAAAAAATCTTCAAGACACTTAACACAAATAAATTAAGAAAAAAAATGTAATTGAATCATTACCCCGAAGCATTGCTTAAAAACATATTCATGAATTTAACAAGGATCCGACCACATTGATAAGAAAACTTCAAAAATCACCCTTTTCTTTTTTTAAATTTGTCTTTTGTGCGTTGGTGTTGTGATGAAATGAACAAAGTTAAAGCTAATAACATCAGTAAAACAAGGATAGCAGCTTGCTGTGCAAGTAGCACAGATTGTTCCGACCATAGTCCTAAAAATTACAACAAAAAATTATTTTAAAATTGTGTCGTTTTTTCGGCGTAGTGTGGTAAAAAAAGAGCTGAACAAGAAACTAGATATTAGGCATATTCGACAGTCATTGTAAAATAAGCAAATAAAATAATTTTCAGTTTTTTGAATTTTTGTAGTTTCTGATTCCAAAAAGGCGCTAAAATACTGAAAAAAAAACTAAAGCTACTCGAGTAAAAGTAAATTTTTACGCTTTAAATTAAACTTTTTTAAGCTTTTTAGGCACTAAATAAAGCAATTGTAAGCCTGCCCGTTCCCTTCATTCGCTCGAATTAAGATGAAAAACCAAAAATTCCAAACAGGTTTTTCTCGAAACAGGGAAAAAAACAGTAGAAAAAAATACGAACACACCCGTATACAAAGTTCCTCTGCATTTTTCAAATAGTCGAAACAATAATCAGATTAGACAACAGTTTTCTTCGGAGAAGGAAAATAACAAAAATGTTAATAAATGAAAATGAAAATAAAAGAATGATATGAGTTCTTGATATGATCAGATAACTTTACGAACGCGTAGAGCGTTTGTGAGTTAGCTATAATCTGCTACAGTCTGCGGGAGTTGTGTAGGAAACGTGAATTAAAAAAATTTTCGGAGAAATTTTCAAGTCTTTTTTAATGCCAATTTTTTCGCAGATTTTCTAAAATTTATTGCCAAGAAGGCTCTAAATGAAGCTCCAAAAACTCTCTTCAAGTAGCTAAATAAATAGTTTTTTTTGTTATTATAGCATCTATAATCGCCTAAATTTGGGCTCGAAATTAGTCTAGAACCCAAAAATTTCAAAGTGTTTTTTTTTCGACACAGAAAATTTTTTTAGTGTCTGTTGATCGGGACTGAAAGGGCTTCAATATGATATGTATCTTAGCTTATACTAATAATTATGTTTCCACGATTTTGCATAGAAAAGAACTAAAACATCCGAACACAAGTTTTTCAGTTCATGCCTTCCTTGTAAAACGTCTCTCGCCTTTGCTTTATATTTATCTATAGATATATAGAGTCTTAAGCGAATGCAATTCTACTCCTGAAAACATTTTCTAAGCACCATTATTTTTTGTATTTATGGTTTTTGGTACAAAAGAAGATTATTTAAAAAGTACTCGTAGCATATTTGATACAAGGATAGCCGGTTGTTTTGCTAGTGGCACAGAATGATTTGAGCAGATCCATAGAAAAATAGAATTTTTTCTTTAAATTTAACTATCGTTTTTCGTGCGTGATGTGATGAGAGAACTATACAAACGCGTAAAAAATTTGGATTCAGCATGATCGAAATTTGTTGTCTTCGAAAAATAAATATCTTACAAAAAAAAACAGAAGTCTTTTCTGTTTTTAACACAATATTTTTTAAAAACTTTTAATTGCCAAGAAAGCGCTAAATAAAGTCCTTAGCTAGTTTTACTTTTGGTTAAATCGAGTGTTTTTTTAGATGAAATGACCAATAGTATATCGAACGTAACTCGATTGCTTTACTCGCTCGAAATTAGACTGAAGCTCAAAATTTTCAAATACAAAATTTTCGATGTGGTTCACTGAAATGTCGTTTCTCGACACTGAAATTTCCTAATGTTGTGCGAATCATGACTGAAAGGGCTATATTACTCGAACCATTCTGATGATTATTTATGGTTCCTGATTTCCTCCCCATTTTCAATTGTCGAAACAAAAGCCAGTGATTTAAATAGCAAATATTTCTCAAAATTTATTCCTATTACTTGAGCCACTTTACTTGAGAACTTGTTGATTCTGCAGCATAGTTCTGAAAGTATTATCAGTTAAAATGTGTAAATAGTTGTCAGTTTTTCTAGTTTCATTTGTATCTCCCTTTTCTAAAATAAGAAATTAATTTTTGTCGACATTATTGCCGAAAGCAATGCGTTTTGATTACGTGGATCTCGATTAGTTTTCGAGTTGAACTTTGTCAAGAGTTTGATTGATTGAGGTCTCTTAATGTTGATGTTATTTCCGGTACAAATAATGCTTGTATCATCAGAGAATTGAATCAACTCAACAGTCGTACCTATTTCATATATGAAATCGTAAACGCAGAAGATAAAAGTATGTGGACCTAAAACGCCCTGTTTAAAACTGTATTTTGACCCCAACTAAAAGTAAAATTTTGATTATAAACGCCTAAAAAACCCTGTTGCTCCGAAAAACCATGTTGAAGAAGTTTGCGACGCTAATTTAGTGTATCATATTTAATTAAACTATTGTTTTTCAGGCGACGACATTGACGAGATGATTCAAAACTTGCCAATCGACGATGATTTCCTGAATGACCTGCAGATGTCACGAAACGACATCCCTACCCCGCCCTCGGGACAATCTGGCGATTCGTGTGCCACCTTCCCTGGTAAATTGCTGCAACTGTCATTGTAGTTTTGTGTCCTGAAAACCAGAAGTTGTTGAACATGTACAATCAGGAGTAGTTTGATTTCATTTCATGAGATTCATTTATGATTTGATTCAATTAGCATGTAATATTGTCGGATCATGGTAATTCAGATTCAAGGTAACTGGAGGCTTAATGGCTCGATATCTTGTCATGTGAAATTGGCACGTGAACAACCCTTAACCCGCCCTTGAATCGAACAGGACCAAAATGAACACAATTCGAAATATATAATCGAAGACAGTTTACAAAGTCGTTTAGAATTTGCAATATAATCGAACTTAGGTTGAGCAATAGAGAAATACTAGTGATTTAAGTTATAAATATGAGAATGAATAAATATCAAATGGTTAAAGTGATTCTATTAAGACTCTTCAATACAAATAGGACACTTGAACCTTAGAAGATTGATAAAATGATCGCACAAAAGATCATTCAGGGTTTTTCGCATTAAAGTCTTGCCTAGTAAATTATGATGCGTGAAAAAACCTTCCGTGGTGGGCTGTATTTTTGTTACGAGTCGGTCCGGGGCTCTTTTGGGAAAGAGCGGGTTTCAATGAATGATGTATTGATGCTTTCTGATTTGATTAATTTTATCAAAAAAGCATCAATCACAAATTGTTTGAAACTCAAACAGCTTTAGCGACACTTTTTTTGCTGTTAATTTCGAAAGTTGAATTTTTTGAAACAACAATTAAGTTTTTTTTTCTATTTCTTTGCATTCATTATTCTTTTCCGTGTCAGTGGCTATGTTTTCATGAAACAATCTACTATTAAGGGACTATACCTTTAAATGTGTGTTGTTTATATGGCAGTTGAATCTGAACTCATTGTAGGTGAATTTGGCAATCTTTCCGACATGAAAATACAGACCATAGAATCTCGGATGTTCATGTGTAGGTACATCGGACGAAGGCCGCAGCTCGGGGGGCAAGAGTTCCCCCAGTGAACACAATTCTATCTCGGGAGGGGGAGGAGGAGGAGGGAGCGAGAGGGGTGCTGCTAAGTGCACTGGCGCCCGGAGTAATCTGACGACTGAGGTGCTTCTGGGCAAACAACATGGTGCTAACTTGAAGACAAGTGACGGAGGGTCCACTAGTTAGTATTTAAACTAGGTTAAAGCAGCTCACTTCTGTTTTTTCAAGGCAATTTCTTTCAATCTTCGTTGCTAAAAGAATGGCAACATCCACTACCGAACAGCAAAAGTGTTAGGGTCATGAAAACTGCAATCGACTTCTAGTTTTGGTAGTAAATTTCAGTTTCCAAAACTCCAATTTTCAGATTCCTAATCTACAGGTTGGAGATTAAAATCCGCGACATTTGAAATAGTCTTATTTTTATATAGTATATATTGTATAGCATTGGCGATTTGATAGCAACTGTAGCAGCTTTATTGGTAGCTAGCATTAGTCCATTTTCAAGCGATCGTGGCGTAGATGCGAGGACGTGGACTCCCAATCTCTTGGTTGGAGTTTTGATATCTGCACATTGCAAAAGTTGTTCTTCAAGGCTCACTTTTTACCTTTTATTTTTCTGTTTCATTCTTTGTTCTTGCTTCCTAGAATTTTTCAAACCCTTTTCTCATTTGTATTTGTAACTGTATCTTGTAAAATTTCCATTATAGAATTTTTCTAAATCTTTGTTTTTAGTGAGATTTTAGAAATGCATAATTTATACAATTTTGTTGTATACATTCCAATCTATTACTTAAAATTTAGTGTGGTTGCCTTAAGTTAAATTACTACATGCAAAATTCGTCACCTACAAGTTTGTGCTCTTGTGCATTTTAGAGACCCCTTGTGCACTCAAAAGTCCTCTTTCTCGCTTCTATTTGCGAACTTGCAGCTTCGCCTCTACGTGAAACAAAAGACTCATAAAAGATTCTTGACATTCAAAGAGTTTTGATGCGATGTAATTTTTTCAAATTGTGAATAGTGTTCGATCCTTCCTTCAGATTTTGTGAGTTCATTGAAGTTTTCCCAACACATTTTGGTTTAGTTGTAAAAGAATGAAATGAATGTAACTTGTATAGGTCGCGATGCTTCTTATTTTTTAAAACTTTCTTTGTTATATAGTTCATGTCATCCGTTAAAATAAGGCAAACTCCATTAGCGAACAGCAAATAGCCACCGCAAATTTCAATAATTTTTAGTTTCAAACATTGCCTGAATTTTCTGAATTCTCAGTTGATTACACTTTTGAGCGTAGTGTAATAGTACGACTATTCTTTTTTCCAACCTAAGTAGCAAATAGTGGTACCACTTTTGCTGGTACCTTTTATTTTTGATAGCCTTTGTTTTGACATTCGATTAGTATGAATTAACACAGTTGATTCATTTTTTATTCATCAAACGAAACGAAAAGAGCTATTTGTTTCGAACAACAGTACAATAATTAAAACTAGATTTCAGAAATTTTCCAACTCAATATATATCGCAATATTTATCGAAATGCATAATTTATACGTAATTTGGCTGTATGCTTTCCAATTCAATACGTGCAAAATTTCTGTCCATGTCTTCAGTTTGTTATTTTCCAAATTCTTACATGTAAAAATGTGTCGACTTGTATTTGGTGCCTTTTTCGCAGCATCGGATTGGCAATTTATTAACATATGTAACTGCTTTATTATGGAATATTGTTATTTAATTTTCAAGGGCCTGTAGCGCAGATGTGAGAAAAGGGGACTCCTAATCCCCTGGTCGTAGGAGCGAATCCTCCGCAGCAAACTTTTCAGTTTTCAAGGCTTATTTTCAACTTTTCTTATTTGACATAGTTGAGCTGCTTTTCTGTCGTTTTCCTGCTAGTTTTTGGGAAGCACAGCCTCGCCTGTGTTAAAAAAAATTACCTTTAGATCCAGCTTTCTCTAAATGGGACAACTTTAAGTAAACAGGGTCAATCATACGAAATATTTGAAATTCAGAGAGCTGTAACGTGCCATTTTTTTCTCGTCGAAGTTTGAAAATTGAAAACTGTTGAAAAATTTTTAATCCTTCATTTCGCTTTTTTTTGTTCTTTTACTTTGTTCGAACCATTTTTTTGGCTATGTGATTGTAGCACTTGTTCATTTTTAGGGATTATCAAACAGTATGGCGTGATTAGCGCAGAAGTTCCCGGTCACACCAGTTAAAAGAGATTTCAAAAAAATACGACACAGTTGCGGCCTTCAAATGCAAATTGCAGACTCAGCGGTATTTTTTGTGTTAACAAAATCTGAAAAATCTTTTTGAAGTTCGATTTGTTTTCTTAAATAACTGTAGTTGTAATCTTAGAAAGTTTGTTTCGTTCTGCTTACACAGCAACTATCTCTCTTGCATTTTTCTGATTTTAGCAACAGATCGGAGGATAGTTAATAAAATCAGAAAAGGATACCTTTAGATTAAAATGAAAAATTTCATCCTACCTTTTTCATCATTCCGAGCTTGCGTAAGTGAAACTGAGTAGCAGAAGCGTCACATTTTTTGTTATCAAATCTCGACTGGGGCTTATGATTCTAAAACTAAAAGCCCAAAAAACTCTCTTCGAACCAAAACCAAGCTTAGGTCATAGTTTCGTCCTAGTTTTTGCACTTGGTTAAAACATTATATAATTTAAAGCTGTTTAAAAAAATACTGTGTCCCATGAAACTTATTGATTCAATCACATTTTTCAATTAGCTTTGATATGCATTTTTTTGTACTTTAGTACTAACGACTCTCCTACTATAAGTGATTTTCAGCTGTTCTGCTGGCTGTTCCTTCCTAAATTACTCCTCAGAAACAAAATATTAATTGGCGAGGAAATTCTGAACTGATTAGTTTCAAAAAGTGTTCGAAAACATTCATAGTTTAAGGTTCTTGAACTCAGATGATTTTATTGGTCTTAAAGTTGTTCCAAAAGAGAAAAAAGACAAATTGAGCCGAAAACATACGTTTTGTTTCATCGTAAATTTAAAATATCCATCCTCTTCTAGACAAAATGAGACAGAACTTTCCGCAGGCATTTCAATTTCCTTGCGGAGTTTAAAAAAATAGATGAATTAGTTGCAATGGAGATAGCCCGCATAGCAAACGAAGATGGAGTTTATTAGTTGGTATGGACGTAAAATAGTTGATTACATTTTGTGAAAGTGAGAATAACGGAAGTGGAGCAACTATTGTGCTTGTTATAAAATGTCGTTGCTTTCGTTGTTTGAAGACTCCCGAAACTCAGAGAGGAAGAGGAGTGTAGAAGGAAGCATGCAACTTCCACGTGCATCTTTGAAGCTCAACAAGTCCAACTCTTTCGAATCAGATGGGAGCAATCAATCCAATGGGGTTCGAATCTTGCAAATACTTTTCATTAATTTCATCATGCATTTTGTTTTTCTCAATATAATTTGGTTTTCATTGGTCCGGATCCAAAATGGGAGAAATATTCAATTCAAGGTCGCTGTAACAAAGATACATTTGGTTGAAATAACTATTTTCTTACTCCCAGTTTTGTTGAAAATTTTAATAATGACATAATAATAATTTTAATTGAGAACCAAGAGTCTTGGATAGTTCATGGCAACGCTTCCTTTCAACCTCTTTCATTAGCTGTGATTTAGAGTGGTGGAAAACTGAATGCCCAGATAATTGGAAGCAAGACCCTTTCGGAGCTGCTGGGATCGGCGCCGTCTGCGATCGCCGCGGAAGCACCCACGTCAAAAGAAAGCGAGTATCCCGGGTTCATGTTTTCGCGAGTTGAAGAGAAAAAGATGATGCTAAACATACAAAACAAAAAATTTATCACCCCAAAAAACGACTCAGTAGGAAAAAACAATTACAGTGAGCGCTCTTTGTTTATTTCGTTGGGAAGGAAGCAAGAGGGCGATGCGAATGTCGAATTGAGAACACTGGAGCGGAAGGCTAGCCGGAGGTCTTCGAGCGACGGGTCGGAATCTAACCCACCATCATATCTGAACAAAGTCTTAAACGAACCGATCGAAGAGTATACCTCAGAAGAGAATAGACGGAGCTGCTCTGTCGATATGAACGACATTGATATCGGAACCAGTGGGCTGAACTCGGGGGGAGTGGAAGATTCTGAGATGGCGCCGCTTCCGAGAATTAAAGGATTTCATGAAGTGGCTCATGAGTTGAGAGAAGCAGCGAGGAAGGAGGAGGAACGGGATCTTCAGGAGCAGCAGAACAAACAAGAATTTGCACGCCAGCAGCAAACTGAAAAACAGTCGCGCCAGACTACCCAGAACCAGTTCATGATGCAACAGCACCAAGCATCTTCAAATCAGAACCCCAACAACACTAATAGTAACATTGCTGGCAATGTACCGAATGTGACCAATAGATCTCCTCCGTCGTCTCGGGAAATCGGACAAAATATGTTCCAGTCTCAAAGGCAACAACAACAGCCACATCAGCCAAACAATAATCAACAGCAACAAGTTCAGCAGCAGCAGGGTTACATGTGCAACCAGCCCCAAAGGCCGAACTCGGTAGCAATAGCGCCGGCCATACAGCAGCAGCAAGGACCACCCTCTGTCCATCGGACAACACCTACAGGACAAATGCCCCCCACTCCTGGGCACAACATGCAGATACAGTATAGCCAATCAAATCACCAGAACCAGATGTTCCAAATGTCAGCCAACCAGAGCGAGGCAAGCAGAAAGAACAGCGCGGCATCTGTGAATGATTTGAACTCTGGCTTCGATCCAAATCTTCACCCGTTTCAGCAGCAGAATACAAATGCAAACGCTTCTCCTATACTGCATCAAACTCAGCCTCAGCAGCAGCATAATATGCAGCAGCAGCAGCAGCAGCAGCAGCAGCAGCAGTCGCCGGTGATGGGGGGACAGGAGTTCAAGCCGTTTCCACCTAACCTGTTCCGAGACCCAGTTAACCCTCCAAACCAGACAATTGCCAACTTCAGTGCCCCAGGTATAGATTTAATAATCATTATTGCTATAAAGAGGATTTAGGTCTTTCAATTTCCAACATTTTCGTTTATCATGCAATGCATCTCGACTTCTGCAATACACCGGTTAAGGAACTTCGTTTTTCAATAGCTTTTCCCCTCAATATCTATTGAGAAGAGCAAAACTGCTTCTTCGTAAACAGAAATTATGGAAAAAAAAATAACTGAATATGACGTGCATCTAACCTCTTGATATATGTTCAAGAATGCAAATTCAATGTAAAATTTAACAGGTGCAATGATGCGAGATCAGAAGTCGCCTCAGCAGCACAGTATGACTCCTCAAGTCTACGTACCCTCACACTGCGTCAACCCCCCACCGAACCATCACGCTCGAAGCGTGAACACTCCATCAATTCAACCTCAGCAACAACCCCAACAGAGACAACCAGATCATCATATACATCAGCAACACCAACAACAACAGCAACAAACACAGGCGGTAAAGTACTACCGACCGACGCAACCGAGTCAACAACAGATCTACGTGTCTGCATCCCCGGTTGCCCATCAGAACTTGCAGAATGAATCATCAATGCATCAAGTACCTCAGATGGGATCTTTCCCACAACACTACTACCAGCAGGGTCTCAACCCGCCAATGGTGACCAAACGTTTTGTAGGCACTGGCTACCAGCCTTCAATTGTGAGGGCTCCAATGGGGATGCAACAACATCCGCATCGTCTCATTCGTACGCCGATTGACCAAGCCCAAAACGTACCCCAAGGAGCGACAATGTATGCGATGGCAGGACACCCGCAATTGCATTCTCCCCATATCATGAACGGAGCCGCTTTCAACAGGTTCCCGGCACAAGGTGCAAACAACCCAGCTGCCAGAATAACCCAACAAGGGGGGTCCGCGTACCATCTGTACTCGATACCCCCCTCATTATCACAGCCCCACCCCCATGTTCAAAACATGCACAGTCCAATCAACGGCAGTGTGGACACACAACAGAGCTTGCAGTCTCCGGGTAATATAATGCGTCAGATGCCACCTGGAATGATGGGGAGGCCGCCGAGCGCAGTGCCCCAGGTGTACCACATGCCGAACAGCATGACACCTCAACCTAACCAGAAGCAACCACCCCACATTCATCATCAACAGCCGCCGCCGCCGCCGCAACAACCCAATGGTGCTAACACAATACAGAACGAATCGGCGCTGTCCGGCTTAATTCAACACGCGGGATCTCAGGCAGTGGCAGGACCTCAAATGTCTAGTACAACACTCTCTCCGACCATCAACACCTCAAACCTGGGAAGCAGTAGTTCTAATAACCATATCAATAATATTAATTGCGCTTCCATGGTTATGAGCAGTAGTAGTAACAATATTAACCTAAATAACCAAAACCAATGTATGGACAGGTTACAACCCATGCAGGTATCGAATAATTCCATGTCTGCAAACAGTGCCCACCTTCATATGACGAATAGCTCCTCTAAACAGAACCAAATGTATATGATGTCGACCACCTCAAAGCTGATGCACTCGCCACACTCTAACAATCATCAACAACAACAGAGCTACACACAGCCAGTTTCAAACAGTGTTTCTCACATGAATATGCAACAAATACAAGGCCAGAACAAAAGTACGGAAAAGCAACGAAAAAGCCCGAACAGCTCGAACAGTAAAAGCCTTGCCTCCAATCGACACGCGACAGCCGCCTCGCCTGTGAATAATGTAGAGCAAATGGACATTTCTGTAGGAAACACTGGTAGTGGAATCACAGAAAAGTTATCAGGGGGGTTGAAAATGTGCAGCTCAAGTTCTAGTCTCCAATCGATTTCTTCAGTTGAAGATGAGCCCAAAATGACAGAGCAAATGGAAGACCTGAATTCAATCTACGATGACTTTCTGTCTACTTTGAGTGGCGACAATCCGGGCAAAGCGGACGAGAGCATGGATACGTCTCATACGGATATGGGATCGAGTACAAATGACTTGATGGTGCCAAGCTTCATGCATAATCGTTAGTATCACGGTGACATGATAAATTCAAGTTTCTAATGGAGAACTAGATCTTCATAAATTGAATTGTAAGAGTCTTTGGATGTTGAGCATGTTAATAAACAACTGCAGAAATTTCCATTGCTTGAAAACATTTGCCAGATTGAGCAACACTAAAATTTATTTAGCCAGAGAATAAAGGGCAATGTATATTTTAATTTTCAGATAACACATATTGTGGTTTAGTTTTTTCGTTTAAATGGCAACTAGCTCAAAATGTTTTGATCGCATTCATACAATACAAATTCACAAAAATTGTCAAGCAAGCTCTCATAAGAAAATGAGGTTTTCTTAGCTTAAATCACTAATTTTGTTTTAACGAACGTTACTTGATCGCTTTTCTCGCTCAAAACCCAAAAACTTTAAAATTTCACTAAAACAATTTTTTGATAATATTCAATATCGACGACCCATTCCGATAATTATTTGTGGTACTTGATTTTTGCGTGGAAAATGGAAAAAAAAACGAAAAAACTAAAACACTTAATTGTGCATATTTGATAGTTTTCACGCTTGAAGCAGCAATTTGTTTAAGCTACTGCTGAACCTTTTCTAGACTTTTGAAAGTTTTTGTGTAGGTTTTACTGTTTTGTATAGCGAATAAAGGTGGGGTACATTTTCCGTGTAAAAATTTGAATTTTTTGTTGGATTTGACAGCTTATTGGTTTCTTATAGTAGATAAGTTTCTATGAAATTCTTTGCTCAATTTTAGTGCAGAGTCGAAATAACAGTGGACAGTACAACACGACAAACAACCTTATCTCCAACACGTCCCATGGTGGCTTCACAATGCTAAACACTTCCAGCCCGAGCCAATATGTGAGTCGAAGATCCCGAGGACATGTGAATTGATTGGGAAAGCTAAAACTGAGCAAGAAATCATTCGTTATGTTTTTTGGCGTGTTTAGTTTTTATCAATGTGCAAATGCAAATTTCTCTTACAAACTTGAAGTTTTCTCAAATGTTAAACTAAGGGATATTTTTGAGAACAGTAAGTGGTTTTGTTTAATGCAGCCTATGGCTAATACTATCTCGCCGGCGGCTGGAGGAGATGGGAACCTGTTGAAGAAACTGCTGAGCTCTGGCGCCCAGGTGACCAATATGGGAGTGAATGGAGCCAGCGTGCTTATCAGTGGAGCACCTGCAATGTCATCTGCGCAAGTCATGGGACAAAATACAATGTCCTCCATCAGTGGAGCATTTACCACCTCAACGTCTAACAGTAGTAATCATCTAACCACACGTTCATAACAGAATTGAACAAACGAACGAATCAGCCCAGTTTTAACGGTTGTTTTCGTAGATTGTCACTGCTGTATTTACGACACTTGCAGAACACCAAAGTTCAACTATTTGACACGTGCAGAACACCACTTTAGTTGGCGAAGCGGGAATTCTGCCAAGGAGTTATCGAGCACTACTCAGCCGAAATCCACTGCCCCACAAACATGCCATAGTTAAAAAAGTGTTGCGATGGTGACAAATTAAACAAAAGGCATGAAATAAAGTTAACAGGAAATGGCCAATAACAGATTATTGTGTGTCGAACACATTGTGTTGACGGCGTGAACTTAAGATGGACTGGTAGAAAACGGATCATTTTGCCGAAATCTAGCTTTACCTACTGTTTAGACTGAAAAGCTCATCTCAGCTACACAACAAGGATATTTAAACATTGGCAGCGGCGAATTACTATTGCTTCTTAGCTATCCAAGTAGAAAATGGATGTGGTTGATGTGTAGTTAGACTACATGAAATGAACGAACTCAAACTCTGTTAGTTAATCTGAACACAAACTCAGGCAAATACAATACTAAATAGAAGCTCAGTACGATAAGTATTTGCTATTCGATTCGAAGTTGGACAAAACTCTAAGTCAATTTATTTTTACCTATTTTGTCAATAATTCATTTTTGAATTTCAGTTTGTGCTGATAAATAAAGTAAAAATAGAAAGAAGGCATTAGAAATTTATTTATGAAACTAAACCCAGACAGCCGCTTTAGTGTTAATTTGTCTCCATTATTTTCTTGTTCTTCGTTTGTCTCTCTTTCTCTTCTTCCGCCAAAGAAGTACTAAAGTCTCTCTCAGTTGCTTCATATTTAGGTCAATGTCATATGTCAATGAAATGTGTATAGTATTTGTTCTAGAAATCGAATCAAACCACTTGTGCTAATTGGGATGTTGTGATTATTAGCGAACAGTTTTCCTCATAAAGATAGATCCCAAGCGATATGTTGCTACTGGAATAGCGATAGTTGTTGTACTGATCAAAGCCTCTGCGTGAATTCTTTGTTGTTATTGTTGCAACATCTGATGCAACTCGGCGAATAGTTGAAGGAACAAAAAATTGGCGACCACGGTCTTAGATTGAGAACAATTCAAAACTGAGTTTGAGAACAAGTTTTAAAAGATGTTTTTGACTTTTGGATCAGTTCTTTGCCATAAGGAGCAAAGGCACCAAATTACAATTTTGCGTTTGACCTTACATGGAAATGCAACAAGACAAAACTGTCCTATAAAATTCGCCCTGTTTGAAACTGAACTTTTGTTTGATGTTGCTGAAACATGTGATTAATTGAAATATCAAGATTGTATTTGTGGATGAAAAAACAATTCGAAAAAAAGGTCCAAATTTGCAATTGAATTGTGAACAATTGTTTGATCATTGGTGCGTTCACTCCTATTTCTTGTTTATCTCTCGCTCTCTCTCTGTCTACTCTTCTCACAACGAATAATATTGTTGAAATGTGAAAAAAGGAAACTCTCGCGAGGTTGCTTGAAGCTAACTTCGAGGTTCGCTAACGTTGCTATCTTGTACACTATATCGTATCGAGTTCGACTCATGTCCTCAATTTAATAATATATTCATTTTTGGCCTTAATCTATTTTTATATGTACAATTTACTATGATTCAGCTAATTTTTAAAACAAAAAATTAAGTCAAGTTAAATCAAGCGAACACAGGCAACATGATGCCACAAAAAAGAATTGCTGCAATAGGGATTCAGGGACAGTTTTTACAAAAGACATTTTTCACCAGGAGGTAACAACAGTTTTCTTAAATTGAGTAAAAAATCATTTAAGCTATTTAAGATTCGATGAATGTTTTTCGTTTTTCAAACTCGTGTATAAGTCGTAATTTCTTTTGCTTTCTCATGAAAAGTCTAAAAATGTGCTCAGGCTGGAATTTTCTTTTTTGCGGTTTGATTTTTTTCAAGTTCAGTTGATTTTTTTTGTAAAAAGAAAGATTAACTCCACTATTAACAACAGCATAAGTGTAAAAATCACGAAAAACGTGATATACTTGTAGTTTCGAAGCAGCTAGATTTAAGTTTTCAGATTTCCCTGCGATTTCCCTTAAATTGGGTTAATTTACTCGAAAACTTGTCAATTGTAATTTGCTAAAAGTGCAATCCTTTTTCCGTGAAATTTCGTAAGTTACTTTTTCTCTCCTTGCGTTCATTGGCACTTCAATTTTCTTTTGACTGTTTTTTGTGACAAATGTTTTATGTGGTGTTTTTTAACCTTCGAAAAGTTTACAGAAGAAACTGCATTTTTTTGAAGCTTTCAAGATTTCATTTTCATTCCGAAAATTCAAATTGTCTAAAAAACGTGACTGATTTTTATTTTCAAAAATCGAAAATTAAATTTCATAATTGCAGGTTGAATAAAATGATAATTTTTGATTCATTTCTGTCCAATTGAGCGATTACTTATTGTTTACTTTGAAACTCGAGTTTTGGCTATTTTTGCAAATTTTTGAAGGATTGATAGGTGACAATTGGTAAATTTGCGGGACTAAATATGCGTTATTTTGCGGATTTTTAAGTTATGCTGAACTCAGAAATGCACCTTGGCCTCGAAAATGTTAAATTGCCACTTTTTCCAGCAATCGTTCTCGACTAGAAAAATATTTTTCAGTACTTTTTATCTCTTCGCGACAACTCAAAGCAATTGAAGTTGTTTGTTGCATTGTCTGTCAAGGGAATAGTTTGTGCGACTTGGCATAGCAATCAGATGCACACTTAAATGTACGCTGACGTTTTTGACATCATTTGTGATTAACTTTTTGATATTGTCTTTTTCAAATTTTAGAAAAAAAAAATTTCATCTTGTTTTATTACATTTAATTTTTAAATGTTATTACTGCTCCATAAACCTTAAAAGGCAATCGAAACAATCAGGGCTTCGCCCTGATACGAGCAGTCTTACTTGGTTTTCTGATTGGATGTTGCAGTCAAATCAGTTTGTATAGCAAAACTATTCGGGCTAAATTTTTTCTACCGATGATTTGGACATTTCTTTTTGAAGTCGAAATCAATACTGAACTAATATTAAAATACTGCCATGCGCGTGCTTTGGGTTGACTATTGCCAATCTTTTTGTGACAGTTGGTAACAACACGTCCACGCACAGTATGGCCTACAAAAAAAACATAACTAACAGAACAAAGATAACCGCTGCTGTGAAAATAGCACTGAATGTTACGACCATAATAAAAATAAAAACTAGAAAGTTTTTTTTTCAAATTTTTTAAAGAATTTTCTGCGTTGTAATAAGAAGATCTGAACAAAAACGTAGGCATTTTCAATTGTCAAAGAAAAAATAGCAAATTGGGCAACAGTTTTTGAAGAAAGAAAACTAAAAAAAAATTAAAAATTTTCTTGAAATGTTATGCAAAAATTTTTGAAATGAACTAAATTTTTGATTCCCATATTGCGCTAAAAAGACTCCAAAAAAGGATTTCAGTAGAGTAAACTCAAATTTTTATGGCTTAAATTACGCATAATTAAGCTGTTGTTAGTCTGCTTGCTCGCTTTACGCGCTCGAAATTAGACGAAAAATCAAAAAATTCAAACCGGTTTTTCTAGATTTTTGAAAAATGATTTATTACCTTTCGAGTTATGACTAAAAGATTTTTTACTATTAATACAAATCGCTCAAATACTATTGGTATACTAAAATGAGTAACTACAATTACAAGAATGAAAGAGAATGAACTGAATTGAAATTGTTTTTTTTTTCTGATAAACTAGAAAAATGCAGCAAAGTACAATTGACTTTGAAAAGACAAACATGACTTTGAATTAAAGTAGCTGAAAACAATTCGCAACATTCTCCAAAGCATGAAAAAATTTTATTTGACACTATGAACGTAGCTAATGTAACACTCATAGTCCTTTCCCACTTCAACCACGTCCAACAAAAAGTAGAAACAAAAGTAACAAACTTACTATATGCACCATGAACTTTACAAGAGAAGCTCAAATAAATAATCAGAGCGCAAACAGTGTAAAAACTATAAACGTTTCATACAGATATCTCAACAGGGAAAAATTTACTGAATAAATTTACTGAATAGTAAAAATCAATCGACGTAAAATAAAGCTGATGAATTGATAAAAGTGTTAAATGTGCTAAATCTGGGCTTAGAGTCGGCTATAATTTCGACAAAAAATTCGAGTTAGATGGATGATGAAATTGGAAGTCGGATCCAAAAAAAGAGGAAATAAGTGAGTTGTTAATTTGAGCACTTTTGGCTGTGTTGTAGTTGTTGTAGGACATATCTGCGTCCACTCTAGTTTCATTTTCAATCACTGACGAGATAATGCTTACCTAGTCTTGCAGTAGTGCGTTAGTTTCAGCCAAAAAGAATATCTCAACTATCATATGTGGGTCTAAAAAAGAATTGTAAGTAGTGGTTTTTTTGTGGATTTCGGCTTTCAATGTGTTGCTTTCTGCAGTTCCTCCAAATAGGGTCAGAAAGACTCATTGCATTGACAGGTGATGACAAAACCTCTGATCTGCGAGTTCTCCGGCGTCTTGCTGGGACAAATAACCTAATTCAATGGTCGCTCTGGTTCTTCTTCTCAATTGATGACCGCTCTAGCGGTCGGTGCAACTCGGTCGATGCAACTCGGTCGGTGCAACTCAATCGGTGCAATTTTGAACTTACCACGTTTGTCCTACGTCTGAAAAAGCTGCCCGTTGGGATGGAAGGAGTGTTAAGAAACCATTCGCGAATCTTAAGACTCCTTCCTGAATCCTTTCGAGAGAGCTCCGGTAATGATTCCTCGCTTGATATTGGTTCCTCGCTAGTGCTTTTTGATCTTTGAGATTCGATTGTCACATGTTCGTCTATTGTCGTCTGTTGCTGAAGCAACTTTCCCGCACTTTGATAAATCATCGAATAAGTCATAAATTGATTCTAAAGTCACTGCGATTTGTAACATACCATTGAAAAGTTTGAATTAAACCTTCGTGAATCTTGTTGATAAGAAAGATTATCAATACATGCTTTGGCGAATGCTGAACAGCGAAAATTATCATCCTTTTTTGACAGCCGACTAACTTGAGCAAAATTCTCTTTTTTTCACTCTGATATCTCAAAAAACAATAAAACAAAAACACCCCCTTTCAATACACTTGATCCCTGATCTTACCCGGTATTTTTCTTCAGACTGGCACACCAGATTTTTTCGTTTGACCCTTGAAAATAATCTGTGAAGACGAAACTACACAACCGACTGCGCAGTTCACATTATTTGGAAAATATATTCAACAGCTGCATGTCACGTATTCAACAACAGAAGACATAGAAAAAAAAACAGAGAATTGAGAAATAAGTTTTGACAAGAACATCATCGAAGAAAAAAAGGAAGAAGAGAAAAGATCTGACAAAATGTACATGTCTTCTTAAAAAAAAAAGAATAAATGTTTGCATTAATCAATATATGTTTACTTGTACATTGATATTGATTTGTAACCCCGAGTTGAGCGAACAAATTTGCGTGTAACTACTCTGAGGAGAGCGAGTTTGAGAGCAAAACTTAACTTGTTTTAATAACAAAACCTCCAAAATTTATCAGTTTTCTTAGCCGTTTTCCTTTCAGACTTGCTCTCCACCTAACCAAGGAAAACCAAGTTATTTTGAGCGCATCTGAGTAAAAAAGAAACCCGATTTGAATCGACGCTGTCGCGACTTTTTGTTTTTCCGTAAACGGGATACTCCGAAAACCCCCTTTTCCAAAAGATAGTTATTTTTCGGCATTTTATCATTTCGTAAAAAAAAAAAAAAAAAAAAAAAAAAAAAAAAATCATTTCCTGTTTTTAACTTTCCTGTTTGCATTTTTTCTGTACAATCTAAACAAACATCTGACGAACTTTAGATTTTTAAAAAAAAAAAAAAAAAAAAAACGACGAATATTATTTTTACAATAATAGATGGTGAAGCAGTTGTTGAGCATGTTGTCTGGGTCTCTCTTGTCTTAATGTGCGAATATAATTGTCCTTCCTTTGTCTCGTTTTAAATTGTGTTTGTGTGTAGATGCGTTTTCCTCTCGTTGTTTCTGGAAAATTGTCGTCCCTTTGTATCCTTGCTTTGAGTGTAGCCTGTAAATTACCATAACACGGAAACAACTAAAAAAAAAAAAAAAAAAAAAAATCATTTAATTTCGAGTTTACCAAAAAAAAAAATAGCAAGTCTTTTTTTTCCCTCAAAAAACATTTAAATATTTTGAAAACAACAGCAAACACTTTAACAAAAACAAATTGAAGAAAACATTCGAAGTTTTTTTTTTTCTCTAACTTTAGTTTGAAGTAAAATTGAATAAGAGGTTAAAAAAAAAAAAAAAAAAAAAAAAAACGGCCGAAACGGAACAAGCGCCGTCCTTATCTACGACTCTCAACAACTATGGACGATACCAATACCAACAATTCGTCGACGTCAACAATAACTGCAAAAATTGCCTCAAGTAAATTCAGGCTGGCTAGAATCGAAATGAGCCGGTCTATGGAGTTCTTACAGTCACAGATAGAAAGAGGGACCCATATTAGTTCTTTGAAGACTTTGGCGCAGAAAACAGAAGACCGATTAGAACAAATGAAAGTAATAGCAACCGAAGTGTTCGCAAATGGATCTTCGGAAGAGAACGACGACGCTATGGAGATATGTGCATGTCTTTCACGACAACTTATAGAGCTAACCCACAACGTCAACACTCTAGGCGAAGACTTAACCAGCTGTTCTGGTTCTAATACAATAAACGTAAACAAATCGACGCCTGTATCCCGGCGAAACCCCTTCGTCAAGGACACTTATGCCGAAAATCACTTCACTCAGCCCTCTAGCAACCGCGTGAACAATTCATCTGATGGAGAGCCAATTAACTTACAGAACGACATGCTACTTCACCAACACTCAACCACCGACGTACCGCAAATATCTTTGAACCACTCTGCAAACGAATCATTGTCTAGAGAGTTGACCTCTCTAAGTTCTCAGTCAAGAGAAGAAAGCTTGGAACAAAAAAGGTTTACAGGATATGAACAAACTATTCAACCAACGAATCAACTACTACTAACATCAGTACACCAAGCATTGCCAGACAACTTACATTTGAATCGAAGCCATGATTCGTTTCAGTTTTCAGCTCCAGCAGTCCATGCAAATCTCCACGAAAAATTTTCATTGGAATCTTCATTTGCTTATTCCAATCGTCAGCAACCAGGAAACGCTATACAAACATCAACTTCAAAGGAAAATAATTTCCATCTAACTCATCAGAAAAATTTAGAGCAGTATACATCTCCCCCTACTGTCATACAAGCGAATCGGAACCCGTTTGCTCAAAGTCACTCGGTTGAACAGTTTCAAAGAACTTTGGATTTGAACAACCAAGTAGTGGATAGTCATGGGGATATTAAAAGGCACCAGGTAGTGGATAGTCATGGGTTTGATAAAAATCAATTAAACATTCTACATGCACATCATTGTCATGAACCGGTTTTCAACAACCCGATATCAACACACTGCGAACAGAATAGAGACGCGCTTAAAGAAAATCATTCAGGATACCTCATTCATCCTAACTACAACCAAATTCCACCGCATCTGCTTGTGCAAAACCATCCCTACAACCAGATAACGGATACTCACGTTGGTAATAGCTACCACACAAACAATCTTCCTACGCAACATCATCTTGATCAGGCTATAAATAATCCAATTTCATCAAACAGGCAACAGAATAGAGATCCATTTGGAGAAAGTAATTCAAAACTTTTCAATTATCAGAATTACAACCAAGCTCGACCCATTCCAACAATGCACAACTCTGAAACTTACGCAAGTTTTTTACCCGGACAAGAAAAAATTGACTATAAGTTTTCTGTTAAACTTCCTCCAATTAAGCTACCTAACTACGACGGAGACCCGATGGCTTACCACGACTGGATAAACATGTTCCAGGCTACAGTTGATAGGAATCATACAATTAGTGACACTCACCGGATGACTTATCTACAGGATTCGGTGTCAGGAAAAGCAAAAGCACTCATCAAAGGGTACTCATGTAACCCTGCTTTTTACAAAGCCGCACTGAGGGACCTTCAAAATCATTTTGGCGACTCAAACTATATTGTAAATGCTTTCATTCAGCAAATTGAAACTTGGCCGTCCTCAACTAGTAACAATCGTTCAGTTGTTTCATTCGCATCCTTTTTGAAACAGTTAGTTCGAACCTTCCAAAATTTGGGTTTTCAAGCAGATTTGCATTCTACAGCTTTACTCAAACTTATCAAAACTAAAGTTCCTGACAATTTACTTATGAAATGGACTGAATACGCTGTCCGTGAAAATGTTCAAAACAACAACGTACAATTGTTTCAGGAGTGGCTTGAAATACAAGCTAAAGTATTGGAAAGATTACAAGGGGAGCACTCGTTTCTGGGGACGTCAGCGGTCAAAGATCAGGAGCTTAAGACACAAAATCAAACGTCTTTGGGAAGTAAGCAAAACGCTAAAATGGGGTCTGACATCAATACGACAACCAAATTCCAATATCCTTCTAAAAAGTGCTTCATTTGTTCGCAGGAACATTTTTTGGCTCATTGCACCCGCTACCAGAGCTTAGCACCAGTTGAAAAATATAATTTGGTAAAACAGCATGAGCTTTGCATAAATTGCTTAAGTTCTCGCCATTCAAGAAACAATTGCAATTCAGAGAGACGATGTCAGCAATGTAGAGGGTTCCATCATACGTCACTTCATGATCCATCTCGATTTACAAGCAAAAACAGCGCATCTTATGCAGCAATCGTCTCAGGAAAAAACGAAGATGATAAGGAGTTTACAACCTCAACCTCTAGCAGATATGGCCTGTCGCATAGCATTGACAAAAACACATACCATCAACAAAAACAAGCGGACAGTGAAATTCATTTTACAAAAAAGGGAGGGTTTACTGCTTCAGAAAAAGCAACATTTGAACGGTTACCCAACATTTGGTTCGAACAATTACAGCTGATCCCTGTGTCGTTCGTCAATAATGGTAAAGTGTGTGACACTTACGCTCTCATTGACCCTGGCAGCCAATTTACTTTTATGCTTGATCAAATTGCAGACTTCTTGGAAATCTCATCATCAGAAACAGCAAACATGTCTTTACAATATATAAATATCAACCATGAGATGCCGGTTGCAAAACTAGACAACATCGTTAATTTAGCACCGTACAAACAAACGGGACAAACATTTCCAATTCGTAATGTTTATAAAACGCCATTTTTAAATATACCTCCTGCAGATGTTGCTCATCTGAATGAAATCTGTCAGGGTTTCAAAGGTTTTAGCCACATAAAATTCCCCAATATTGCTGGCGGAAGAATTGGAGCACTACTTGGCGTTAATACGTTCTCTTATACGTACCCCATTCAAGTAATTGAAGGAAATGATTGCCGACCACACGGAATACAAACTCGACTGGGTTGGACAATTGCAGGAGAATATCACCAAACAATTGCTCCCACACGTTTGAATAAAGTGCGCAACAGACAAACTTCGGGATTTGTTTTCCACGTTACAAGAAAGTCAAATGAATCTGTTGAGCAGCCATTGGACTATTTAATTCAGCAATTCTGGAAAATTGAAGAAACTGGACAAAAAACAACAGAAAAGGAGTTTTATACCGAAAACAATTTGGCGGCAATTCGGATCCTTGAAAACACAATACATCATACAGGAGAAACGTATGAAATTGGTTTACCGTGGAAGAACGAGACTCAATTGCAGAATAACTACTACATAGCCCTTAATCAATTAAAATCACTTGATCGCCGACTTGCTAAAAACAACGATCTACGAAATTTATACGAAGCAACCCTCGTAAATGACCTCGAAAAGAAACACGTGCGACCTGTAGAAATGAAAAGAATAAAACCCTCGCGAATTTGGTATCTACCACATCACCCAGTGCAAAACCCAAATAAACCGACAAAAATCAGAAGAGTAGCCAACGCTGCATCTCTTTTTAAAGGCCAATCACTTAACAACAATCTCCTCACAGGTCCAGATCTACTTGCAAATCTGACAGGGATTCTGCTGCGCTTCCGCAAACATTCTATTGGTCTTCTTGCCGATATTGAAGGGATGTTTATGCAAGTAAAAATTCGTGAAGAAGATAGGCCAGCCTTGCGTTTCCTCTGGAGCTATAACGGAAAAGTTCATCAGTATGAATACACGCGGTTAATATTTGGAGCCACATGTTCACCATTCTGCGCTATTTATGCATTACAAAAATGCGCTTTGGACAACAAAGACTCGTTTCCTCTGGCTTATGATGCAATTCTAAACAGTTTTTATATGGATGACTACATTGCCTCAGTACCGACGTTAGCTGAAGCACAATGCGTTTCAAGAGAAACCAGGGAGTCTTTAAAACAAGGTGGTTTTCGTCTCACCAAGTTCTTATCTAACAACAAGCTCGCCCTGCAACATATTCCTTGCGAAGACCACGACGAGATAAAAACTTCAACTCGTGTTCTTGGACAAAACTGGAAAATTGACAGTGATGAGTTTTTTATTGATCCCCTTCAAAACTTTCCTACTCTGGCTGATAATTATACTCAACGGAAACTCTTCAGCTTATTGTCGTCTATTTTCGACCCTCTAGGAATTATAGCACCAGTAACAATTCGTTTGAAGGCTCTACTGCAGCAGATTTGGAGGCTAGGTTTGAAATGGGATAATCAGATACCTAGTGATCATCAACACAAGCTACAGAAAATCCTGGATTCTTTTCTCAAGATGGAAAGAATAACTTTGCCAAGAGTTTTGTTTCCAAATCAAAGCAATAAATCGTGGAGTTTGGAAATACACGCATTTACTGACGCTTCACTCATCGGTATGGCCGCAGTCTTGTTCTTGCGAATGCATAATTTAGACGAAACAGTAATTGAATGTAAATTTTTGATTGGCAAAAGCAAGGTTGCGCCTATTAAACAACTGAGTGTACCAAAACTTGATTTAGAAGCTGCAACAATTGGAGCACGTCTTTTGTCATTTACGTCCAAAGAACTTCATCTCAATAGAACAGCTGTTTTACATGTCTGGACAGACATTCAGGTAGTACTTGATTGGATAAAATCAACGAAACAGCAAAAAACATTTGTGGCAAATCGACTGACTGAAATTTCAACAATGGATCATCAACTACAATGGCATCACATTCCAACTACTCTGAATCCTGCAGATCACGGTACTCGAGGTCTTGAACCCAGGGAAATTAATGAAAAATGGCTCACACCTCCAGCCTTCTTGAAACAACCTAAGTATCTTTGGCACGATAATACTTTGCTCGCAACAACAGTGGTTGCTGCGGGTTTTCAAAGACAGACCAAGCATAAAAAATTGTCTCTAAATGAGCCAATTTTCGACATTAGACGATTTTCTACATGGAACAAGCTAATTTTAACTCTCACCACAGTCATGAGTTTCATTTCCAGACTACAAATTAGGATTCTCAACAGAAAAACCAATCAAAACCCATCCTCCAGTGATGAAAATGAACAAATTTTTTGCAACACCTCAGATGTTGAAAAGGCCAAGCTATACGCAATCAAAATTTGTCAGGCTCAGTCGTTTCCTAATACTATCAAAAAATTAGAAAGCAAAAGCAAAATTGACAATAAAGACAAATTGGTTCAATTGAATCCCTTTTTGGATCAAAAGACAGTTCTAAGAGCTCGAGGTCGTCTTGAGTTTGCATCTTGTATGAAAGAAGATGCAAGGTTTCCGATAATATTGGATGCGAAAAATGCAATAACAAAATTGTACATTGAACACGCACATCATATTTGTGTACATCAAGGATCAGAGTTTGTCAAATCCTTCATACAGCAACGCTACTACATTATTGGTGTACGACTGGCTCTACGCAGTGTACGTTTTAAATGTTTCATATGCAGACGGTTCGATGCGCAAAACCTCCAGCCAAAAATGGCACCCCTACCAAGCTCAAGATTTCCACAGGAGAACACTCACTACCCTTTCATCAGCACAGGAGTAGATTTCTTCGGGCCATTCTTCATTCAAAACAGAAAGAAAACAGAGAAACACTACGCTATCATCTTTAACTGCCTGACAACTAGAGCAGCCCATTTGGAGTCTTGCCCAGATTTGAAAACTGATACCTTCCTTAATGCACTTGCCCGGTTTACAGCCAGAAGAGGGAGCCCTAAAACAATTTACAGTGACAATGGAAAGACTTTTGTAGAAGCTGGTAATGAGCTAAAGAAGTGCCTCAAAGAACTAGATAGAAACAAAATTGAAACCAAGCTAGCAGTCAACGAAATTGAATGGAAATTCAATCCGCCTTATGGTCCTCATTTTGGCGGGGCCTGGGAGCGATTAATCCAAATCGCTAAACGCACAATTCTGATTATTCTTGGATCTAAGAAGCTTACGCTTGATCTTTTCAAT